CTCCCTATAACTAAAGTTGAGATTTAAGTAAATAAAAATACTTTAACATTATTGACTCAAATCAATAAAATTATAATTGTTTTGATAAAAGTTTTACACTTTATTATTTACCATTGTTAATATAATAAATGCAAAACCCATTTAACATCAATTTCTGAGAAGAAATAAATCTTTTTTTTGAAAAGTTGAGATGGAAAAGAAGATTTAAATAAAATGATTTATGAGATGATCTTGAAAACCAGTTTTACTTGAATGGAACTAAATTCATTACGAACTGATCAAAAAATTAAAAAAGAAGAATTTGAAAAAACAAATAAACAGTTACAGCAATTGGTATCGTTTGTGTTTTATTAATGTTATGTTACAAATAAAGTCTTTATGAAATAGAGACAATTATAGTACTTTATTAGGAACTTCAGAAAGTGTTATTCAATTATCAAAAATTTCACATTTTCTTTCTGACCAATTGAATATTGTAAGTATAGCAATGGGTAAATTAAAACCAATTGAAGAACAAAAGAAAGTTGAAGTTCCTAAAACATTGAAAGAACAGTTTTTAGAATTTTTAATGGTACATGAAACAGTTTCAGACTATTTACAAAATGAAGAATATTTAAGAGCCTCTATAACTTTTAATGAGATTATGAAAACAAAAGATATATTAATGACAAATAAAAGATATAATTCATATCTCAGTAAAAGAATGAGAGTTATATTATCAACAGAAAAAGATATTATTGAAACAATTAAAACATTATTTGGATGTTCATTAATTGAAAAAGAAGAAAATAAAGTGATTGAAGCTTTTGTTGTTTATGTCAAACATACTAACCAACGATTAAGTGATGTACTTCAAGATTTATTATTACAAAGAAGAGTTTCTATAATATCAATGTTACAAGACAAAACAAGTAATTGTTTACCAGATATTTATAATTATATTTTAGATACATACCTATTTGTAAGGAAATATTTTACTTTAGATAATGAAGGAAAAATGCAATTATTATATAACAGTACTTATAAAGAAACAAATGATTATTTCCTTAATTTTAAAGATAATATAGAAGATAGTTTATTACAATGGAAAAGATTAGTTCAGCAGGAAATTGGTGATGGAATTATTTCTCAATTTAATTCATTAGAAAATATTGAGTCAGTAAAAAAAATTGCAATTCAATTAGTTAATTTAAAAAAAGAACGAAAAGAAGAAGACTTAATTTATGATTCAATTTTCTTTATTCCATTAAATAGAAGAATTAATGTTGTTGTAAAAGAATTATGGAAAAGAGAATTTGGAGTGTTTCAAAGTAGACATACATTACCACCAAATGCATTAAAAACTAAAGTTAATTTAAATACATTATTTTTTGAACCAGGAATTATTAAAACTCAAAAAGAATTGTCTAATGCATTTGTTGATTGTAAAGCAGTAGAAGTATTTGTCCAATCATTTGAATATTGTTTTGAGCAAATTCAAAAGGAATTAGATGAAATATATAACGAAGATGGTACTAATAAAAATCCAGAAATCTTTACATTAGAAAAAAAAAGAGAAGAGGTGTTTGGTGAAGGATTTATATCATGGAGTGAAAATTTAAATGAAGAACTATATCAAATGAATAATGAAATGGAAAAAAATAAAACGAATCCTTCAATATTTAAAGAACTTTTACTTGAATTTCTTAGCTATTGTTGTTTTATTCACCAATGTTGTTCAAAAGTTTTGAGAGAATCAAAATCATTACAAGGAAATATTTATCATTCATTAATCATTATTAAAGAAACATTAACAGGATTATCTTATAAAGCGGGACAATATTTCTTTGATACTATTTTAATGAATTTAAGAGTTCCTTTCCTTAAAGATGCATCAATGGAGTCATATGGTTTTGGTATTGTTAAAAATATTGTTTGGAAAAAAGTTGATTATAATCAAGGATACTACTTAACAGTTAGTAATCCATCATATATTACTGAAAGGTTCTATTCAAGAATGCATTTAGTTTTGTCATGTTTAGGAACTGTTTCTTCTCCATTAATTCTATATGTTCATTCTCATATTACTATTGTTTTATTAAAGAGGTTTGAAGATTATTTAAGGTCATATGGAAATGATTTTGCACCTCAATTTGTTTGTGATTTAATGATAATGAGATATTCATTATTAAAAACAAATGAAATACTTTGTAAAGAATTGAATGATATCTGTCTTTCATTATCATTAATAGAAAAATCAACAACATACTTAAATAATACTCTCAATAAAATTAATGAAGAAATAGAAGATTTAAAGAAATATTTTGATGACATTGATTTCTGTTTGTATTTCAATGACTCAAAAGAAATTGCTACCGAATATTACACAACAAAATGCTCATTATTTCCTACTCTCTTTCCAAGTCAACTTAAAGAACATTAAAAGCAATTGACTCTTTTCTTCTGTACGAATTAATCAAATTGTTATATCGTTTTATATAACAACAAACAAATGACAAACGTATTGGTTTTGTCAAGAAATACTCAAATCAATAAAATTCCTTAATATTCATTTATAAATAAATTTTATTATCAATAATTTTTTTAGTTCATTGAAAGATAGTGAACATATAAATTAGTTTTTATTTCGTCATCTCAATAAATTTTCTTACGGGTGGTTATTGGTTTATTTAAATTAAAAACTTTTCAATCATGATAATCATCCTCTTACTTCTTGTTTCTTCAAGAAGTAATGAAAATAAACCAAAAATAGGAAGTCCAATAAATTATGAAAGAAAAAACAAAGAAATAATCAATTAATATTCACATGGGATTAAAACAATCAGGGTTTATTGAAAAAGTTAACTTAATGACAGGAGAAAATTTTATACTTACTATAGTAGTGTTTATAGCACTTGGGTTGATGTCATTTCTTATTGAAAAAATAACTGAAAAGATTGAACATCATTTTAGTAAGAAAGAACATATATTATCGTTAATTCAACATTTATATCATGAACTTATGAATTTAGGTATTGTTTCATTCTGTTTTGTAATTTTTGATATTGCAGGGTTATATGGATGTATTGCTCATAATTTTGAACAATATAATAAAAGAGAAGCAGATGTTTTTGGAATATTTGAAGTAGTACATATTACTTTATTTGCAATAGCAGTTTTTTTAATTGTTATTGGATCATTTGTAATCTTTATGTCATGGATATATCACAAAATCTGGAAATATTATGAACGTTTTGGATATCAAAACTCAGAAGAAAATTTTCTACATAAAATGCAACAATTAAAAAATAATAAATGGAATTATCTTAATATTGTTTATTGGATTAAATTTGAATTTGCTTTAAGAAGATATCAATTTAATATCATGAAAGAAGAATTTATTATTATGGAAGGTTTACCAACCTCATTTAATTTTGCTCGATATATTGTTAGTTGTTTCAGAAGATTGGCTTGTCACCACATTCATGTTTCAGGTAAAATTTGGTTATATGCTATTACTCTAGAAGTAGCAGTGACGTCAACATTACATTTGAAGAATCCAAATATTGGATCAGCAGTTCTTCACTGCATTGGTTATTTTTCTTTGTTTATTTGTATTATTGTAACATTAAAATGTAGAAGTGTAGTGAGTCAATTAGTTAAATTACATCACTCAACAGTAAATCTTCCAGTAGTTAATTTTCTTGATGACGATCGTAATTATCCTTCAAACTCCGAAAAAACACAAGAACATTCTGAAAGTTATTCTATGTCAGAAGACTATAGTGATATGAGAAGATCTTTACAATTACAAGGAAGAAAAATTTCATTAAATTATGGGATTAGGGATGTTCCTCCTCCTCAACGACCAAAACCACCAACAGGAATTAAAGGTTTATTGCATAAATATTTTGGGTGGGTTCCATGTTATAACTCTCCATATCATACAACAGTTGAACGGTTATTATGGTTTAATTCTCATGGATTTTTACATTTAGTAATGAAATGCATTTCCATTACACAAGCAATCTATATTGTATTATATATTTTATTTTATTCAAGGTCTAGTGTATATACATGGGAACATGTTCTTATTATCATCCCACCTATTTTTGTTTTATTTATTTTGGTTCCACTTAGTTTATCATCAATGACATTAATTCGATACGTAGATAAAGATAGATTAGATGATGTTGTAAAGTCAATTATTTTCCAATCAATTTCTAATAAATTTAATAAACGACATTTATTTAGAGCAGTTGCTTCAAAAGAAAAAGATAAAATGAATGTTCCAGATAAAGAAATGGTTGATGTATTTAAAAATAGATATCTTGCAACTAATAGTACACACAATATTGAACAACTTACTATTTTAAGTGAAATTATAGGAACTATGACTGAAAATGTTGATAAGAGGAATGGTTTAAATGTAAGAAAAATTGGTGATATTACAATGATTAATTCTGCTTCTGGAGATGTTATTATTAGAGGGGTTGATCCAAATATATTAGAACAAATGTTTAACGATGTAAGGAAATATCAAAAGAAAGAATCAAATCAACAAGTAGAAACAGAATCTAATCCTGTTGCTATTAATGATATTGATTCAAAACAAATAAATGGTAATGTAGAAAAAGAAGAGTCTATTGTCCAACCAAGGGTAATAAAAGATGTTATTGATAATTCATCAGATCAGAATGACCAAAACAATAAAATACCTATCTATAATGAACATACAGAAATAGAAATGAAAGAAAGTATTCCAAGAGTTATTTTAAGTGATTCTTGCAAAACAAATCAAAGTGGTGGAATAGATTCTTCTTCTTCAAGTCAGATATTAACTTCTTCAAGTTCTGAAGATGATGGTGACAATGATAAGACAGAACAACAAACAATTTCAAAACAACCTAAAGATTATATTTTAGTTCAAAAAATGGCTCAACCAACAACTCATTCAGTGTTAAATGTAGATGATGTAGAAATACTTGATATGAGTGATGAAGCATAATATTTAAATGAATTCAATTAATTGATTGTTGTTTTTGTAAATAAGAACGAGAAGCAAGAGGTGTAGTTGATAAATCAAATGGTGTCCATGGACATCCAACAGCGTCTCTAATAAGATCTTTTAACTTTTGTTCTTTTAATTCAGGAAGTGAGAAATCATAGAATTCTACATGTCTTTGATTAACATTTCGACTTAACAATGAAATAGTACCAGATGGAATTTCTTTTGGATTAAGTTTGTTATAATTTGTTAATAAATTAACTAATTTTTCATCAGTTAAATGTGGACAAATTTCACTTCTAGAATCATCAACTAGTAAATTTTTTTGGTTTAAAACAAGTACTCTTCCAATTTCTTTGATAATAATTAAATTGTCTTTCAATACTAATAAATTCTTTAGTTTATATTCAAAATCAGATACTATTCCAAGGAGCATTTGTATTTGAATTCCCATCATTAATGTACAATGATCCTTTATAACCTCTTCATAAAAAGAAATATTTAGTACTTTAAACATATCGTTAAGAATAAGTGTCTTAAAAGGGCCAATAGTCCTAAATTCACAAACTAAATTAACAATACTATTAAGTTCTTGTAGTATTGGTTTATCTGAACAATTTTGATTTAATGATATTTCCCATGCTTTATGAAATTTTAAATTTATTATTTCAAATAATCGAGTATAACATTTAGACCCAATCTTTTGTATATCTTCATTAAATTGAACTAATGACTCAATCCTTTGTTTTTTTCCTAATGTCTCATATAACGCAATTAATTTACTTATAGAAGAAAATAAATAAACACATAATTTTAATGGTAGAATATCAGCAATAACAAATGACTGTAACTGTGTACAAATAACTTCAGGTAATCCAGAATTTGAAATAAATTTTTCTATTGGCATAGAAGAATAAATTATTTGTGTTAATAATGTATTGTCTGTACTTTTGCATTGTTCTTCTAGTTCCATAAAAGAAGAATGTCTTCCAATATCTTTAATTAGTAATTCTTCTTCTCCAGTTAATACTTCAACAGTGTTTCTTCTTGACGTATTAACTTTTAACTCTCTTGTTGAACTTTCTCTTAATGGACCATCTCGTTTTATTTGTCTAAAACTACTTTGTCGTGCAATACTATTACTGTTACTTCCTATTGTTGGTTGATCTAAAGCAGAACGAATTTGTGAAGCATCTGCTGTTGCTCTATGTATTCTGTCAATTGACCTTATTGTTCGATGAGATATGATAGGATCTCCGTTTGACTCTTTATTTAGAGTATTAAAAACTGGTTGAGTTTGTTTAGTATTTTCAAACTCAAAAGATCTTGTAAGATCTAATGAAGTTTTAGAAGAAGGAATTTTATTAACAGAAATCGTACTTTGACAGATTTTTCTTTTAGGAGTATTACAACTAGAAGAAGTAAGGACTTTACTTGAAGAAGTATTTGGACTACCCATTATTCTTGTCTTTTGTTTACTAATTTTAGGAGTTGAAAAAAGATGATCCCCAAATAAAAGAAGTAATTTGATTGTTAAAATCTCATTTCCAACATTTAATAATTTATTTATTGACTGTTCACCTATAGATGCTTTATCATTAAAATAATCTGAAAGATTAATTGTTTCACTTCCAATTGTCATATTTCTTGATATGATATTTAATTTAAGTATTTTTGGTTTTAGATGACCTTTTGAATATTGAAACGTTGAAATAAAACTAAATTCTTCATTAATTTCTTCTCCAATAGAAAAAACTTTAGTTGTACCATTATTATCTCCTCTTTCCCAACTAATCTTAATATTTCCAATTTCACTTTTTTCATTTTGACTCACCACACTTATTAACCGAACTTGAACTCGAGACTTTTCATCATGGGATTTCATGGATATTTCAATTCTTTAAAGATTCCTTTTGAAGTTCTTTTTTCCCCATTATTGTTCTTTTTATTTTATTTTTTCATAATAGTTTTATTATAGTTTTAATGTTTTTCAATCTTTTGTCGAACTTATTATGTGAAAAATATGAAAATAAGTTATTTTTAAATAACACAAACGAAAAATATTAATTTAATGAGTAAGAAGTTTAATTAGTATAACAAGCTTTTGAAATTGTTCCCTACAAAAGTTTTTATTTCCTCTAGAATTGATGAGATTGAATCATTTCTTATGTTAAAAAAAATATCATTAATAAAACAATAATAATAAAAAAACAAACGATAAACATTTGCTATTGTACTATTAGGACTTAAAGTAATAATTATTTCTAATAATTTATTATCAGCACAAATGTAAGCAGTCCATTTTCCATTATCTCCTTTAATATATATTTCTTTTGCTCCTTCTTTAATAATTTCTAAATGATTTAACATCTTTATTATATCTGGCTTATCAAATATTGATAATCCTCCATTCTTAACACTTGTAGACATATTATAGTAATAGAACATAATCGATTTATTCACTAATTCTTTTGGTACTTTTGGAAGTCCATCAGAAAATGTTGATGACCAGAGACCTTCAAATAAATCAGTTAACCCACTATTTAAAAATAAGAGAAATGTTGATACAGACTGATCATTTTCAGTATCTAAAAAGAAATGGAAAAAGAAGAGTTTATGTTCAAAAACAACCCATTTTCTTTCTTGTCCATCTATGAAAACTGAACAATTTAATATGTCTTTTGTTGCTGCCAAACTACTTTTACTTCTTGAACGTTCTTCAGGAATTCCAAAAACAATTCTTCTTTCATCATTTGCAGTTCTAATTCCATTAAACTTACTTCCAAAATCCATACTTCCATTTCTTAATACATTAAATAAATTAAAAATATTATTTTGCATTGAATAATTAAAGTTAGTATGAACTAATTGTGTACTAAACAATTATTTAATTATTTGTTTTTATTTATTCTAAAAAAAACATTAAACAAACTTTTGGAATAACGCATATTCTTTTACACATTTAAATTGTGTTCCTACATCATTCATCAAATTAATTAATTGTGTAATTTGATTTTTAGACATTGAAGCGTATTGAATTCCTGTTAATCTTCCTGGAGATGCTAAAATATCATTTGAAACAGTACACATAATAGGATCAAAAAATTTTTTTAATTTAAAGATAAATACATCAAATGAAGATTCAAATTGTTGTGTAAATGTTCCATTCAATAATACAAAAGAATTACAAAGGAATTTAAGAAGATCAATACCAGTTTGATCAAGTGATGGTGTATCAGAAGAAACAGTATAACTAATCCAGAATGAAGGTTCTGGTGAATATAAAAAAGTTTTAGTTTTAACCATTGTAACTGTTGTAATTGGTTTTGAAAATTGAGAAAAAAAACCAATTAATGTTTGAAATAATCCAAGATTTGCTAAGTCTGAATATCTTGTTTGATTACTAAAAGAATATAATAATTTTTTTTCATCTTCTCCTTCTTTTGTTTTAATATTTGGATTAAAGATAAGAAGTTGTTTGACTGAAAGATCTTTTTTAGAAGATGAAAGTAAATCCATTACAGACATTAAAATGAACTGATAATTTTTTAGTTCTTATTCTTTCTTTTCTATTTCATTCTGTAAACAATAAAAAAATACTAAATTTCAATTAAACTTAACTAATACCTTTTTATTTCTGGGAAGACAAATGGTTGTTTCAGTAATTAATGACTGAAGAATTGAACTAATAAAACAATCATATTCAACACTGTCAACAAGATCTAATACGGTTGGTAATGTTTTTGGATTTAACACAATTGTAGGAACATTCTCTTTCTTTTTTTCTACTAATTTATTGAATGCGATAGCCATTTGTTTATTCATTGAAATAAATTCTTTTACTTCTCAATTATTTCTTTTCAGTCATTTCTTTTAAATAAGTGTTTCCTTTCGTTTCAAATTCAATTTTATAATCTTCTCATTTAGTGAATCTTATATTTAAAGAAATCCTCAAAAAGGGTTGAACAAAATGACACGTGGTGAATTATCTAAAAACTATTTTATAAAATTAAATATAAAAGGAATTTCAAAAATAGATAATAAAGAGAGTGGAGTGTAAATAAGTTGTTTTCCGTTAAAAATCCAATAAGGAATAATAAAAGAAAAAACTAGAAATCAATAGAAACAAAGGAATGGTTGATACAACAAACATTACACATAAAATAATGTTAATTTTAAAATATTACTTTGCATATTGTTTTGTTGCTTCAGTATTTCTTCAAATTACTGTTTTACTAATAATGGATGTAATTTGTTTACCTCTTTACTTTATATATAGACCAATTTATCAGTGGATATTCCAACGAGTAACGGAAGTATATATGATGTATTTTCCATTAATATTTTATTATATAATAGGTAATAGAATTATTGAAACAGGTGATGAATTAATTCCAAATGAAAATGCACTTTTCCTATGTAATCATACACACTTTTATGACTTTCTTCCAATTGTTATTGAAGCACCAAGGTGTGGTAGAATTGGTGCTATGAGATTTTTTATGAAAGAAGAAATAAGTAAAATACCATTAGTAGGGTTTGTTTTGATTAAAGAATGTAGTGATTAATTGTTCAAATAATAATAATAAATTAGATTTGGATTTTATATGATGGATAGTGTTTATTTAAAAAGAAATTTCCAAGATGATAAACCTTATATTCTTGAAACATTCAAAAGATTTAGAAATAAATATTACCCATTTTGGTTAACTATTTATCCTGAAGGCACTCGTGTAAAACCTCAAAAATTAATAGAATCTCAACAATACTGTAAAGATAATAATATTCCAATTTATGAAAATTTATTACATCCACGTCCAACTGGTGTTATTGTTACTTTACAACAACTTAGAAATGTTATTCCTTACGTTTATGATATTACGTTAGGTTATCCTGTAAAACCATCACCATCTTGTTGTTTCTTCCCAGGAGAAGGAATTACAATTCATATGAATATTCATAAAATTAATATCAAAGATATTCCAGAAGATGAAGAATCATTAAAACGTTGGTTAGACGATTTATGGGTAGAAAAAGATAAATTAATGAGTTATTTTAAAGAGCATAAAGAATTCCCAGGAGAACCTCGTAAGCCACCATTTAAATTTACTTGGGCAGATTTTACTGGTTATATGACACCAGAATGTTTTACAAAACCTTAAACTAACTATTTGTTATTGCTATTCATTTTGTTCTGTTATACAAATGAAAAAAAAATAAGAAACACAAAAACTAAAAATTTGATGGTGATGAATCTTTTTTTATTTCTTGAATAGAATAAAAATAAGTATTAATTTTATAGTAAAATAATAATAATAAAATAAAAAGAAAAAAAATGAACTGAGAACTAAAAAAAAAATTAAATAATAATAGTTAATGGAAGAAATACTTAATCAGTTAGAACGAGTTGAAACTAAAAGCGCTCAACAAATTGAGAAGATAGTTAGATGTGTAGGAAAAATTGCTGAATATACACTTGATGATGTTATATTTGATCCAAAGAAAGATTGGACCTTTGATTCTTTAAGTACTTGTTTTAGTAAATCAGAAAGAATGATGGAAAACAAGAAAGAAATAATAGTAATGATTAAAGATCTTATCTGTTTATTAGATGACTTAAAAATTATTGAAGACAAAGAGCTTGACAATTTAGAAAATGATAGAAAAGATTTACTTGAAGCTATGGAAGAGAAAATTAGAGATATGAAACAATATGGAAATGATAGAAGAACTACTAAACCACCAAGATCTCCAATTGATGACAGGAGAACAAGTCAACGAGATTATTCTAAAAGAATACCCGCAAGAGATAGAGAAGTTATTAGAGAGGATAGTCATGATAGAATAGAAAGAAGAACAACTGAAGTACAAAAAGAAAAAGGAAAACAAATTGTATTAGAAATGAGACCTGTTATTGAAAATGAAATAGAAAATGTTGTAGCAAATAAAAGCCAAAAAATATTGTTTGATACTAATACTGATGGATGGAAAATGGATAAATTTGTTGATTCTGTTACTGGAAAGAAAAGAATTGGTTTCTTAGTATTTGATGAAATTGCACATGTATTTGGAGTATTTGTAAATGAAATAATTCAACCAGGGCAATGGCTAGATGATTCTAAATTATTTTTATTCTCATATACTCCAGGACAAAATAAACCATTATTCTATTCAAATATCATGTTCTCTAATCATGATGGAAAGTCAATCTTTAAGTTAGAAGAGAAAAATGCAGAACACTTTTTCAGAGTAGCTAACGTTATTTATATTCAAAACGTTTCTGGTAAAAAAGGAAGTGTTATGTATCCTGAGTTAGAAGAATATTTCTTCCATGCAAATCCTAGATCTTTCTGTGGGTATGTTTATCCTGATAAATTTGAATCAACTAGAGTTATTGCACTTCAATTCTAATTAAAACCACATATAAGTATTATTTTTTTACTTATTTGGTAATTAAAAGGGAACAACAGGAATTTACTTTCTTAATTCTCATTAAATCAATTACTTCTTTACTAAAAATGATTACATTTTCTCTTTAATCTTATTTATTAGTTATATATTCATCCCTATATATTACATTAATAATATTTAGTATTTATTCAAATACATTACTTTCAATGGTATTTAATTATTTAGTAATTCTTTAATATATCTTTATTTAATTAATATAATTACTTTAATAAATATATAAAAATATTTATTTCAATTTTAATAACATCTTTTCCTCCTTTATTTATTAATTTATGTATTTAATTGTAATAATAATAATTGAATTATTTTTTTTATTTTAAATATTCTTTCTTTAATAAATAAAAAGCCTTTAAATTATTTTTTAATTGCCAAATCATTTATTGTTTGTGGATTTGTAACAATAGAAAGTGTAGAGAAGAACGTAGGAGTTGGGAATGAATCATTTTTATCAATAATTTCTTTAATGAGTGTTGTTCTTCTTAAATATGGTTTTAAATAATCATCTGGTGATATGTTCAAACTACAACAATAATTAGCATTAATAGCTGTTTCTCTAACTAAAGCTGGAAGAACTTCTTTACCAACAATTATTCCATCCATTAATGGACCAAATTGTCTTACATTTTGTTTTCTCCAAATTCTAATTTTATGTAAACCATTTCCAATTGGAGTAACAATAATATGAGCAGCATTAAATTGTGATGTAATTGTATGTGGGTTATAGTCACCAGATTCATTCCAAACAATATGAACATAATCATTTCCAACATGTCGTTTTTTAGTTAATTGTTGTTGGTCATCTGCTTGTGTTGGTATTAAAGTAATATCATGAAAAATAACTTCTTTTGTAGCATCAGCATAATACCTAATATATTCTCCAGTTGACAAATATGTTTTATCTAATCCTCCTAAAAATCCTGAATGAGTTTTAATATCTAACGTCCATCCTAATCCTTCTACAAATTCTTTATATGCTGGGGATCCTTCTTGATTCATAAGAATATCATATTGATCATGTTGACCATTTTTAACATAAATAAGTCCAATTTTATGGAATGGTCTAACACATGACTTATCTAAATTTCCTAATAAAATTTTAAATTTTTCTGTTGGATTAATAGGAATTAATGAAATATTATTTTTTGGCATTGGATCAATAAATTGTGTTTGACATAATAAAGAGTGGATCAACAATTTAGTATTATCAATTGGTTGATTATTAAGATTAATAACATTCTTATTTGGTGGAACCATATTCATTCCAAGTTCTTTTATTTGTTTCTCAACGTTATCTACAGAATCTTTAACAAAACTTAAATCTTTGTCATAATCTGCTCGTTCTACAACACCATCAGGCATTCCCCATTCTAATAAATCATTTTCTTCTTTAAGAATTTCATTTATCATATTTTTAAGTTTATTTTCTCCTTCACGAATTGTTCTTTCATTAACTATTTGTTTTGGAGCAGTTTGAACAATATCTTTTACTGTTAATCGTGTTTTTTGTTTTGTATTTTTAATACCTAATTCTTCAAGAAGAGAAATTGATTTTACTCCCCAAACTGTTTTACCAACAGCATTTCGTATAATTAAATTACAAAATTCTCCTTCATTACCTTTTTCTATTGACAAAATATTATTTCCATATGCCCACCACGTTACTTCTCCTTCTTCTATATGAGTAGAGAAGAATTTATCACTTCCTTTTTCACTTGGAACAAATCCAAATGCATTTAATAATGTTTGTAAAAATACTTCAGCACATTCTGGTGCACAAGCTCTATATTTAATATTAGGGTCATTACTTTTAACAGAATATGGTAAAGACATTGAATATGAAATTGAATTTAACAAATTAACTGTAAGTTCGGGTGTTAATGCTTTAGGGAATATGCATGAAGGGGAGAATGCCCAATCTATTAATGATGTAAATATACAAGCAATTGCTTCAGTTTTTGATTGTGGATTTAATATAACTTCAATTAATTGTGATAAAAGATCTTGAACGTCAGAAATAGTGAAATATTCTGTAAATGATGCCAATTCACCAATAACTTCTGCTGAAGGTCTAAAAAGTTCTTCATTTTCATTTGAAATTCTTTCAATAATAGATGTAAGGATTGGACTAATCGAAATTTCCATACTATTTCTTCTTGAAAATATAATATGAGTAGCCATTCCATATACCAAACTTACTTGTGATTTAGTTGATGTAAAAACTTTTAAGAGATTTTCAAAACAATTTGTAATAGCATCTGAATAACTTCCTGTAAGAGATTCTTCTTTATTATATTTTGAAATATCTTGAAGTAATGTTGGATAATTTTCTTCTACTGTTACTAATGAATTTAATAATGCTATAATTTGAGCATCTCGATTAACATTATTTGTTTCTTGAAGTTGTTCTTTTTTTAATGATGATAATTGTTGAATAAATGGAATTAATAATGCAGGCCATCCTGGTATTTGATTATAAATAATATCATACAATTCTTCTAATATTATAGAAGGCATCATTGGTAAACCAATAGATATAGTTTCATAGAATAAACTATACAATTCATTTGTAAATCTTACATAATGTCTATTAACTAATCTACAAATAGCACGATAACATAATTGAAGAGAAAGTGATGTGTGATTTCTTCTTTTAAAAGCATCAAAAAATATTTTTCCGAAATCATCAACAAGACAAATTCGTTTTAAGTTAATAGTTTCATAAAATTGATATACTTTAGTTTCTGCTCTTATGAATAAACAGAAAATCTCATATAATAATTTAATTCCATTTTCATAAATATCATCTTTAGGATGTTCATTAATATCTGATAATAAAGAATAAAAATAATACCATAATTTTAATGCACTTTCTCCTCCAAGATTTGGAAAATGATAACTAAACTTATCATCTAATGAAGGGGCAACAAAAATCTCATCAGGAAAATCAAGATGAGTAGAACGTGCAACTTTCTTAGTACCAACTATTACCTCATCCGTATTTTCCAATAAAAGAGGAGAATAAAAATCTTTTAATACTAATCTTGTACAATGACGAAGTTTCAAAGCAATTTGATCCATAACAAAACTAACATTATAATGATTAGATAAACGAGTTCTAAGTTGAACCCAATCATCATTAGTTCTTTCCCATTTTATGTAAAGAATAAATATTAAATCAACAAATGAACCAATACTATTACCAAAATTAGTTTTTACTAAAATATCAATACAATTTAATACTGTTTCAATGATAATTTGTTTTATTTCATCATTAAGAGTAGTTGATGCTAATTTAATGATTTGATTTTTAATTTCTTCAATGAGGATCTTTGATACTGATTGATTTCCAATAACAAAAGGTTTATCAAATAATGTTGTAATACTTTCAATCAAATATCTTTGAAGTTCTGAAAGGACATCTTTTGGTTGAGAAGTAGATGGATTTAAAATAAAGAAGTCAGTGAAATATTGAATAGTAGCAATGATAACAGCATGAGTAAGATCTTCTGGAGTAATTTGTAAAACATAAATATAAAAATGTTTAATGAATAAAACAAATGCTGGACGTGTTTTTAGTCTTTCAGCAATAGGAGAAGACATTAAATCTTTAAAAGAATCAAGAACAAATTTATCAAGTGAAGCAGGAGGTAATTCATCTTTTTTACCGATATTAGGATGATTTAATTTATATTTATATTGAGCTTCTTCTGCAAAATTAGGATAAAGATATGATAACATTACTTCTACTAAAAAGAATAGTTTGTCAAAATTTGAAGGTACTTTAACAAGTTTAAGAAATGATGTAATTAACTTGATTGTCATTGAATATTGATCTATATCTGTTTCTGCTGGACAATATGAAGATTCAGCATAATCTAATTTAATTACTGGAAAATCAGTAGACTTATTAAACAATTGTCCTATATTAATTGTTTTCATAAACATATCAGTTAATTGTTCTTGTTCTCCATATTTAAAAACACAATCAATAACAAAATTAAATGCTGCTTCTCTAACTTCTGGATGTGTTTCAATTTTAAGATAATTAAATAAAAATTTTTCTATTTATTAATTTTTTTCTTTTTAAATGTTATATAAACCAATTTTATTCTTTATAACAAACGATATAAATCAAAAACAGTTAGTTCATTTAATTGATAAATACTTGTCATTATATTTAGTATTTTTATATGGTTAATTGCATCTTTCACTGATACTGATATTTTCCCTTTCTTTGTATGATTTTGAACATATTGTGTTATTTCTATTATAAATCCAGCAAATCCTTGTTTATCACGTTTAATAAATAAATAAAACTCATCTGGATTCATCTTTTCACTTAATGTAATACATGCCTTTATTCTATTTGAAACACTTTCTTTATTATCATATAATTGTGTTTGTTTTTTACGTATTTTTTTATCTAATTCAGTGCTCATCGAAGAGTGAACTATCTATTTAGTATTAATAAGTTCTATTTATTTTTAAAAATATATTAGAATAACTTTTTATTTTAGATTTTTTTTTTTTATTTTTACACTAGTACATTTTTCCTCTAACTTTTTATTTCATTTTTAGATTTAATCTTTTTTCATATATATTTTTAAATTTTTTTTATCCTCTTATCTTTTTCCATCTATTTTTAAATTTCATATCCTTTTTTTTTTCTCAAGACGAAAAGAATGTAAGGTGATATAAAAAACTATTTTTATTTCTGTAAATTTAACCACCCCCATTGGGGATGTTAATATCATCGTTGTTGGTTCAGTTTTTACAAAAATGAATTGATACCAAAAAATTCCTTAATAATGCGGATTTAAAATTGATGATAATTTGTTTCAACTCCAACGAGATCTACTGTATCTGAACTCACCGAAAACAAATCAGGACCATAACCTGGAATAGTCTTATATTTTGAGGATGTCATTTTTCTTCGGAAATAAATAAAGATAACTCCACAGAGAAGAATAAGAATAATACCAAATACCCCAACTATATACTTTGCCTTAGATGTTGAATTAACAACAGTATTTACTGATGTTTGACCAATAACCATTTCATTTAGTAAAAACAGAAAAACAAACATTTGATTAAAAAGATAAAAAATTCTTAAAAAAAAAAATTAAAAGAAAAAAAAAAGAACTTTATCTCTTAACTGTTCTATGGCTTCTCAAAAAGTTGATATTTTTGCTGGCTTGGAATATAATTCTTCACGTGCTCAAAAAAAACAAACTATTAATGTTTCTCAACATTCCCAACCTATTCAAAACAACCAATTTTCAAATACTGATATCTTATTCCAAACACAACCAAAAACTACAACCACTTCCAGTGATGATATCTTCAATTTGTTAAACTCTCCTACTAAAAAATCCCCTTCTCCATCTTCACAGTCTTTTGATTTTATTCAACAACCTTCCCCTTCTGGTAATACCCAAACAAAAAGTCCTTCTTCTTTTGATTTTGATAAACAAGCTCCAACTCCTTCAAAATCTCCTTCATCTTCTGTAGTATTTGATTTCCTTACAAATACATCTCCTTCAAATAGTCCTTCTTTTAATTCTTCTCAAAAACAGTCTTCTTCAACTTCAAAAGTTGATTCAAATGATATATTTTCTGGTCTTTCTTATTCCTCATCAAAGAAACAACATAATTCAAATTCTCAACTACTTACAAATACACATCCAACATCTTCAAATCCTTCCACATCATCTAATTCTAGTACACCAATAAATGGTAGTCTTTTTGAAACCCCTTCTCCAACTTCATCAAATGACCTTTTTGATGTGTTATTAAAAAGTCCTTCCAGTAAATCACCTGCTCATGCACCAGAAACTGTAGACAAATTACTTACTTCCACTAACTTAAATTCAAATGTCCATAACCAAAATGAAGAATCTACTACACAACCAAGTACTCAAGAAGAAAAGAAAGATTCTGGAAATAGTAATATAATGGATTTCTTTGGAAGTTCTCAACCAACACCATCTACTCAACAAGAAAAGAAAGGTGATTTTTTGGATAATCTCATTGGTGGAGAAAAGAAAGAAGAGGAAGAAGATACAAGCAAAATCGTTTATGGCAAACAAGAAAAACTTACTGTTGATATGGTTAATGAATGGGCTTGTGAAAAAGGAACTAGTCAAAGAAAGAATATTCGTTCATTATTAAAGAATTTAGATGAAATCTTATGGAATGACCAAAAATGGAGAAAATTAGGAATGTCTGATCTGTGTGATTTTGAGGGTGTACAAAAATGGTATAAAAAGGCAGTTATTTTAATTCACCCTGACAAAAATCAATTCAGAAGTGCTGACCAATTAGAATGTGCTCAAGTTCTTTTTGACCACGTAAGAATGTCTTATAACATTTTTAGAAAAACTGAACGAAAATAATTCATTATCTCTTTTTTTAAGACTTACTGTTTTTATAATAACACTATTTTCAAATAAAAAACAAAATATAAGTTAAAAAAAGAAGGGGGAATAAACTCGAAATAGGAAAAGTAAAAATAGAATAGTTATAAAAAGAAAAAGGACTAAGATTTGTTATTATGATTACTAAGAGTTGTGGACATCTTAGTGGAGGGAAAGGATCTATGAGAAGAATTGGGGTGATTGAAGAAATGAAAAGGTATAAAGAAAAAATTAAAGAAAAATTATCAATAAAGACAGACGATGTAGAAACACTTAAAGTAATAAGAGAGATGATAAATTTTCAAATGATGATTCAACAAATGAGAAGAAGAATTGAATTAACAGAAGTGTTTCAAAAAGATAAAAAGGATTTAATGAAAATCTCAAAAGTTCAGCAAGATATGCATATAAGAGAAATGGAGAAAGCAATAGAAAAAGGAAAAGAAAGGTATGAAAAAAGGATAAGAAGTATTGATATGATGGAAACATTTTTTAATAAAAGTGAAATAGTAGAAGAATTAGCAAAGAAAATGTTAGGAGAACGGTTATATGTAAATATAGTAAGTAAAGGAGAAAATTTAGGGAATGGAGAATCAAGAAATGAAGGGGAAAACGAATGGAAAAAAGTGAATATATTAATATACCAAAATTTAATATTTTTATTAAAACCAGGGAGTGATACAGTATTAGCTATCATTTATATTAGTAATCAATATAAATTAGTTTATGCAGAAAATCAAAGAAGAAGATATATGTTAAAAGTTGGACAATTTGTTTGTTAAAATAAAAAAATCAAATAAGAAAAAAAAATAACAAATATAGGTATTATCAGCAGAGTCAAAAGAAGTAATGAATTTATGGAGTGAATGTATTACCACAAGAAAAATGTGGTATCAAGATAAAGTATTAAAAAAGAAAGTAGTAATGGCAAAAAGAAAAGTGCCAATGTTAGGAGAAGTAGGAGAATTAGCAAGAATGTCAATGTCAATATTAACTACAGTTCAAATATCACCACATATTGAAAAAGAAGAAGTTATTGGAGTAAGTTTACAAGAATTAAGTCAAAGAGAAGGGTATCAACAAATGGCACCAATAGTATATCGATTATTAATAGAATATTTAACAGACAATTGTGTTGATATTGAAGGAATATTAAGACTGTCAGGAGGGAGTGATGAAGTTCATAGATTAGAAATACTTATAACAAGAAGAACATTTTCACTTCAAGATCTTAAAGATATTGATCCACATGCTATCACATCAACATTAAAAGGATTATTTAGAAGATTACCTATACCATTAATTCCAAGTAATATTAATTCAAAAATAGAAAGTTTAATCAATCAAAAAGTCCCTTATTTTAAATTAGTTATTAGTATTAAAGAACATATTACAACATTAAAAGAAGTATTACCTGAACATTTTGAAGTATTTAAATTATTATGTAAATTATTTACAGAAATTATTAATAGAAAACCAACAAATAAAATGGATTTAACAAATGTATTAACATGTTTTGTAGAATCAGTTAAATGTTCCCCATCTATTTTTTCATGTGCATTACAAAATCAAGGAATATTTTTTGACAGTTTGTTGATAATTTTAAATAAAACTAAAAGTGTTTAAAAAAAAAAGAAAAAGAAATACTTATGAAAATTAGTTTGGGAATAGATGAAAAATACAATTAGTTAAAGCTCATACCACTACCAAATATTACCAAATATTGTAAGTTACATTTATTTTGATTTATTATAAGAATTATTGATAAAATTTAATAAAATATAATTTTAATTATTAAACTTAAAAACAGTAATAAAATCAAAAAAAGTGGTATGCAATTACAAAACTATTGCAAGTATAATCACAATAACAAGTGCTACTAAAAGAACTCCAACAATTAAAATACTCACTTTGTCTGATGCTCTTAATCTAACTTTGTCAACTTTTTGTGTAGTCTTTTGAATATGTGCATCAACACTATTTGCCTTACTTGAAATCTATTTCTTATTTAATTTTTATTTCTTTTATTTATTTACATCTCAAAAACAAACTTCATCAAGAAGTGGTTCTTGTTCATCAATCTCTTGGTTAATGTTTTGTGCTATTTTCTTTTGTGTACTAACAGATGCTGCAATCATATCAATTTGTTCATCTTGTCCTACTTTTTTAATATTCTTTCTTTTGTATTATTATTATTATTTTGACAAACTTGCTTGGAGATTTCTTAATTCATTTGATTTCTCACTGTAATTAATTGGTTGTGTTGATTCAGTACTATTAAAACTATTGTTTGAATAGTTTGTTTGTCCAAAATCAGGCTCCATTCTTAATGGTTCTTTTCCAGTTTCTTCTTCTTTTTTAAGATGTTTTCATTTTTTCTTTTTTCAATTCCACTTGACAAATTTATTCGACATTGTTTCTTAATTTTTTTTAATTCCTATTTATTCCTTTTTTCTTCTTGCCTTTTTTATTACTCATTCTTTAACTACTTACTCATTCTATTGTTACTATTACTTTTCTCCTCTTTTTATTTCATTGTCCCTGTCTACTGTCTCATGAAAAAGTATTTTTGTGTAAGTGTATGTTGATTATTTTTGGTTATTTCACTGAGAATTGCCAATCCACTACTTCTTATTGTTAGTCGTTTTGACTTTCCTCTTCAAAAAGATGAAGTTTATGAAAGGGAGATTTATACGGAAAAGAAGAAAAAAAGAACAAAAAGGATGAAATGAAGTTCAGATAATTGACACATTATATCTCATAACAAATGGTCAATGATTATAGCGAGGTATGAAAGATTTAAATGAAGAGAAAGAAGTTCAACAAAAAAGACACACGAAAATAATAGAGAAAAATAAAAAAGAAAAGAACTTAAAAGAAGATAAAATGCACAGAGTCATTCAAGAAATCATCACTATTATGATGGTTATTTTCTATATTATGGGAATAGTTATTCACATCAATTGTTTATATCAAACAAAAGAATATGGAGGATGGTTATATTTTGTTGAAGGAGAATTTCGATTAAGATATAACTTACCAATTATAATGTGTTTAATATCGACAATAATTGAATTTGCTATGATGAAAAAAGACGAATTTAGAAAATATAATAAAACAATAATAATGGTAATATTAATAACAACTAATGTGATTGGAATGATTATAGGATATTACTTTTATTGTTACAAAACAATTACAGTGACATTTACAGGACAATCATTATTCATATCAACTACATTTATAGTTATAGGGTTTGTTTTCTTGTGACTTAAAGAAATAAAACGGTTATATAGAATATTAATAATTAATAGAAATTTAATGAAAGCATTGAAAGAAGGAGAGAAAGATGAAGTATTTTAGTTAATCATCTTTAAAATTCTTCTTCTGTTTTTTAAAATAAGAAACAACTAAAGTTGTTAAATAATTGGCTTACTTTTGGTTTGTATGTAATAATTCAGCACTGTTATTTCTTCTTTATATATTTATTCTCCTCATTACGTTATCAATGAAAGATTTGGAATGTTAAACTCCAATTTGTCTTATGAAGTTGTTTTTTACTATGAGTTTTATTAACTGGTCAAGTCTTTTGTTTGAGTTAAAAAAATAATCATTAAAAGAAGCGATATAAAAGTCATTCAACCAAAGATGGAAAAAGTTAATCACTAAGAAATCTAAAGTATCAAGAATGAGTGAATATGGTATTTATATGAAAATAAAGGTAATAAATTATTAGCATAAAATTATTAAAATATCTGTAGTTTTCATAATTATATTAGTAATGATATTAATTATTTTATTCACTGCTATATCCAATTATAATACAAGTAATAGACAATACCGTAATAGAATCAAAGAAATTATGTAATACCAAAAACAGAATAGAATTACAACATAAACAATGAAAAGGTTAAAAGAAGAAGTTATAATATTTACAAAAAAATAAACAAAAAATGTACATTTTTGATAATATAAAGAGTTATAAGTTTTTATGAAAGAAACAAGACTCTTTGATAAGTTGATGGATTTATTTTGTCTATTAATTTAAAAATATATTTAATAAAAAAAATATAATTAAAAACAAAAACAAGTAATATAGGTGTTATTTTTTATTTTGTTTTCAAACAACTAATTATTATGATAATAAAATAAAATTGGTAAATAAATTCAAGCAGAATTTAAAATAAAAAAATATTATATGAAATAAGAGTTAAAATTTATGAAAAAATAAATATAAAATTGAATAAAAATCATTAAACTTTCACTCATTTTTTTTTGTTTTAATTAATACAAAAACTTGAATGTATTAATTGAACTAATTTATTGAAGTAGTACTAAATAATATCTATTTGATTATGGCTATTATTTTTGTTCAATGTGCCTTTATATTATGAAATGTTTAATGTTTACATTTTGTATTATTAAATTAATTGAATGATGATAATATTAACATTAAGTGTTTCAGTGTTATCAGTTTTACTATTTTTTTGTTAATCTTGTTGTTTTTCTTAATCTCATTTTTAATTTCTTCAAAACACAAGATAAAATTATACTTTAAAACGTCTAATTTATTTAAATTTATTTAACCCTTTTATTCTAAACTATATTAATATTTCTTTTTCATTGATCTTTTAATAACAAATAAAATGAAAATATAAAACAACAAGATTTTATTATTGTTATTGTAAAAATAAATCTGAATAACATTTATTTAAAAGAGAGTGATAATAAAAATAATAGTTAATTTGATGTGTTAATAATATGTATTAACTATTTAAACATCATTATTTTGAACTTATAAACATCAAATTAAATTAAAATGGAAGCAGTGATTACTAACCAATTAATTAAAGAAGTAGTAGAAACACTTCCAAATATTCAACAATCAATTGATGATACTACTAAGAATTATCAATATTATATAGGAAGTATTAAAAATGAAGTATTTGAAATAAAAGAGAATGAAACATATGAAGAAGCAATTAAAAGAGGAGAAGGAATATTTGATAGGATTGATGAAACAGAAAGAAGAAGAAGAGTGGTGATAGAAAAAGGGCAAGAAACAATCAAAACAATAAAGTTGTTAACAGATAAAATTGAAAAAATTATACAAGAATGTAACGATGATGAAGAAACTGTTAACAAAGCGAAGAATGAACTAATAGATAAAATCATTTCAATTGAAGAAATGATAATGAAAGAAGAAATTAATAAAATTTACACAAGATTTAATAAGAAGAAAGAAGAATGGAAAAAGCAATATAGTGATTATTTAGAAAGGAAGAAGAGAAAAGAAGAAGAAAGATTAAGAATAATGAAAGGAATGAGTACAATTGAAGAAATCGAACAACTAGAAGAATGGACAAATAGAAAAATAGGAAATGTACTATTTGATTCAGATAAAGATGATTGGAATGTTGATACATCAGTATTTGGAGAAAGAATAATGCATAAAGAACATATAATAATTATGATTGAAGATGAAGATGGAAATAAATTTGGAGGATATGTTAATTCTAAAATTGATGAAGATGGTGATTATATAAATGATTCAAAATCATTTGTATTTTCATTAGAATCAAATGGAAGAATGGAAGGAATGAAGAAATTTGATATTAAAGAACCAGATTGTACATTTAAACTGTGGAATCAAACAAGCACATGCTTGTTTGAATTTGGGTCTAATGGAGATGATATTTGTGTTTATAAAGAAAATAAGAAAACAAAATCATATTGTGAGCAACAGTCTTTTGAATATAATGAAATTGAAAATGCACTTTGTGGAAAAGAATGTTTCACACCAAAACGAATCATAGTAATTGAAATGATTCAATCTTGAATAATTGAAAATGAACTAAAAAAGAATAAAAACAAAACAATGAAGAATTTGAACATTTTGTTCATCTTCCAATGAATGAAATGGTAAATTAAAAATTGACATAATTCAATGTTGATTTATTTTATTTCATTTGAAACATTCACACCCAATGACGGTGTTTTATTAAAATCACACATAATAACCTTTTTTTGTCTCATAGTCAGACTGGTTAAAATCATTTATTTTTACATACCATTAATCTACAATAGTCATAAACATTTCATTATCTTTTCTATTTATTAATTTAAATAACATCCAATAATACCAATGTGTTTAATAATTTATAAGAAATTATTCTTTTAGTAATATGAGTAGTTATTATTTTAATAGGTAATTATAACTTATTCTTGATATGGGTTAATCTTGGTTATAATATTTCCTTTCATTCAGATAACTTAGTAGTAACTGAACATTATTTATTATTGAAATGACCTTACTTTATTTAGATTGTTTGGTTAAGTCTTAATTATGATAATGTATTATCAATATATTATCCAAATAATATTGTTTCAAGAGCAGAAAAAGAGGTTGAGAAAATTCTCTTTAAAAAGAAAATGATTTTCTGAAAGACTTTTTATAATTAAAAAGCATGTAAAATAAACATATAATTAATTAATTTTTATTAAATAACAAAGAATACAATTCACTAAAAAAAATAATTAATTCTTCATTTATTACTAAGCAAATAATTTAAAAATTAAACTAAATTGAATAAAAATTTGAATAAAATTACTTTTTCTTGCTTCTGGTTGATTGTTTATCAACAAATTCAACAATCTTTTCATCTAAAACCAATCCTTTTCTTTTTCTTGTATTATCTATAGCGATTTTAGCAATATTTTTAATATCAGCTTTTTCACCATACTCTTCTAATTCTTCTTCTGTTGTTGGAACCCAGAACGGATCAATTGGAATCGTCACAAACCGGTCAAATTGAGTTTGTGTAAATGCAGCACCAGAAGTTTGACCTAACATGTCATCTGTAAACCCAAACGATTCTGCAACAGGTAATTGTGCTTTAATAATATTCATTAGTTGAGTCTCATCATATCCTTCTTCAAGAGTTTTTGCTCTTCTTTTGTCTAATACTTGAAAAACTTTACCAATACATTCAGTTGGACATCTAATATCACATAAATACATTGGTTCTTTAATCCTTTGTCTTCCTAGTTGGAATGCAGCTAAACAAGCATCTTTAAATGCAGTAATAACTTGTCCTTGAATATTACCGCTTCTTGTTTCTTCATCAATGAGAATTTCATCAATTATAAATATTAACCCTTCCATTGGTTCATCACATAAAGGTCCAGCAGAAGTAGCTAATTGAAATCCACTAATAATAGCATTAGTAACTAATGAAGTATAATTTTTAATGTCTTTGTCTTGAGGCCAAAGTGGAAGGTTTTCATCAGAAAGATTAATAAGAATATTTGGTCCACACCTTTTTGGTCCAAAACAAATTAACTTATTTTTCCATTCATTGTTTTCTCCTTCTAAAATAGTTTCAATCTTTTGATTTAAATGTTCATCTGTTTGATGGTTTCTACTTGACATTCTTAACATTGTTGAAATATCATTAATCTTGTCAATTGTTTCTTCTTTCATTGCAAGACAATGGACTTTAAATGAAACACTCTCATCTGCTGTACTTTCTTCAGCAGCCCCAGACTGCCCAAGAATGGTTTCTCTATAAGAAACAATAGGGTCAGTGTAAGTAAATGGCACACGTGCAAAAAGTTCTTTTAGGTCTTTCATACATCTTTCAAGATGTAATTCTCCAGTTGTTAACAATAAATTTTCTCCTGAGTCTTGAATAGTAGTTATAACAGATGGGTCTGATAATGCAAGTAGATTTAATCCATCAATTAATGCTTTCATATCTTCACTATGTACTGGTTCAATGGCAACTCTCAATACTGGTTTGGCACCACTTGATACTAAAGGAGCTAATGGACTACATTGAAGTGTAGAACTTAATGTTGCAGCATTAAACATATTAACTCCAGTAACTTGAATCCCAAGAATATTACCTGCGGGTACTTCGTCCATATCTTGTGTAGTTTGACCCATTAATAAATAAATTTGATTTGCTTTAAATGAATGGATTTTATCAGCTGCATTAGATATAGTTGGATCATATTTTGATGGTAAAATAAAAAGTTCTTGTCCACGACGAACTGTTCCCCCTAAAACTCTACATAATGCAATCATTTGTTCACCAAAAGGGAAAATTTTTGCAGCGTAAAGTACACATTCTGGAGATGAAGCATCACAATGAACAACTGTATCTTTTAATAATGAGGTATGAGTTGAATAAATTTTATTAATTCTTTTTGGTTGTGCTTCCAATGGAGATGGAAGATGAAGAACTGCACAACGTAATATTGTTTTTGCAATTGGAACAAAATTGTTCATCATTGAAAACAAAAAAGATTTTTCTTCGTGAATAGCAAATTCTCTTGCACCAATGTTCATTCCTAATGCAGTTGATATTTTAATAATTCTTTGTTTAGCTGCTTCTTTTGTTTTATTATCGAAATATTGATGGACAGTATTATAAATATCCCAAATTGGTTTTAGTGCTAATTGACTAAATACTTTCATTGTACCATCAATTTGTGTTTTAAATGTCTTACCTGTTTTCATATTAATAAAATGTTCTCCCCACAAAATATTTCTCAATGATTCTTCTTTCATTCCAAATTTTTTTGCATAAATTTCTGATATAGCCACTAAATCAAATCCCCATCCATCAATAGCACTTGCAAATACAACATTTCCTTTAATAGGATCAAAATAATCATCTCCAAATACAGTGCCATTGTCATCTGTTATAACTGCTGTTGCATTATTTACTGAATTCACTAATTGTTCCAAATGATCTGTGGCTTCTTCAATACTAAAGTTTTTTTCAAATACTAACCTATCAATTTTATTAATTATTAATATCATTTGAAGTCCTTCTGATGCAGCTTGTCTTAGGACTGTTTGAGTTTGAACACAAACCCCTTCAATACAATCAACTACAAGTAAGGCACCATCAGTTAGCCTTACTGCACTACTCACTTCTCCACTAAAATCAACATGACCAGGTGAGTCAACTAAATTAAGTAAATGATGTTGATCTCCTAATTGAGTATATAAACTAATTGAAGATGTTTTCATAGTAATTTGTCTTACTTGTTCATCATCTCTGTAGTCAAGATATCTTACTTTCCCTGATAATTTTTTACTAATAATTCCATTACTAGCAATAAGTGCATCACATATAGATGTTTTTCCATGATCAACATGTGCTAATACACAAATATTTCTAACGTTAGCAGCGTTTTGTTGTAATTTAAGAATAACTTTTGATGGTAATATAGTCATGTTTTAAAAGAATAATTATTTCTAAGATTCTTTCTATTTCTATTCATTGTTTTTGAGGGTTGAAGTTTGTCTCATTATTTTTAGTAAAAGAACAAAAAAGGAATTGATAAAAGTATTTGGTGAAAAAAACATTAAAAAGAAGAGGAGACTGTGATAAATTTGTTAATTTTTTCTATTTGAATAAGACTCTCTTTCTGCATTTATTTCATAACTAACTACTGTTATTAATAACAAGAATGAATTAACAATAAGAATGAATTTAATTTGATTTGGTTATAAACATTTAAATTAATGTAAATTACTAAGAAGATTAATTAGTTTATGAATAATTGAAGAACTTAAATGGATAGTAGAAATAATTAACAAAGAATAAGAAATAAAAGATAAAAATACTCAATAAGAATCAAAAAGAAAAGAAGAAATAAAGAAGAGACGTATTACTTCATAAATAAAACAATGAGAGAATATTGTAGATAATAATCATATAAAATGAAGTAACAAAAAAGACATAGTCTCAATATCTCACAAGTATCAAAGAGTATTTCAATTTAATGTTTTTTTTTTATTTAAGTAACATAAAAAGAATAATTAATGGTATGAATATATATATGTAACACTTGTCATCTATTTTATCTTTGTTCCTTTTAAATACTTCAATTATCATTAATTCTAAATAAGAATTAAACAACTTAAATAGAATTATAAATTACAATATGTTCTTTTTTTAAATAAACACAAATAGTGAGTGTTTGTTCTAAACTATTAAAAATCTTTTTTATTTATACTTTAGAAAGAAGAAAAAAAATTTGTATCAAGAAAATAAAATAAATGAAGGTATTTAAATTGGTATTTATGAGTTAATAATTTAAGCAAAGATTAACCAATGATTTTTAATCAAAGGTTAAATAATATAGATAACAACTATTAATGGTTTAATAACAAGTATCAAAGAATATGAAATACTTTAAGATATAAAAATTTTGAAATAAAACAATAAGAAAAAGACGATAAAAGATAATATTGAAATAATGAAAGAGAAATAAAGAAATAGTTAAATGACCAAAACTAACCCAATAAAAAGAAAAAAAAAACAATCAAGAAGAAATAAAATAAATAAGATATTTTGAAAAAAAAAAAAAAAAAAAAAAAAAAAAAGAAATCAATTATGATTAACCTTATTTTTAGGTTTTTCATCATGTTGAGAAGTGAGCGAATCAGTTTCTTCAACACGCTTTATTTCTATTCAAATAAAGTTTTTGCAAGCATGCTCGACTTAAATGGTTCCTCAATTAAGTTGCTGCCTGACTTTTATTTTGATTTTAATGAGTAATATAATATTTCTCATTCTTTATATTGTTGTTTTAAGGAGAGTATATCCATAACTTACTGTTATAGCTCATCTCCTTTTACCTTCGACACCCCTTAAAGAAATGCTATTCCTTGATAATGTCCTTATGTTTAATTTTTGTGCAACAATATCAATTATATATGCGTCTTCTTTAATAAATGATAATTCTTAATACATAATACCTCCTTAGTAAATAATAATCCTTATAATTAATAATGAATAACAATACACGTTAATGAATAATAATCTTTTATAATAATCACTTCTAATAAATATTAATAATAATAAACAGTTAGTGTTGAATAGATATTATCTCACCAAAGGCACGTCATGACCAGACGATAACTGGGAGATTCGAAGCATGGGATTATTTTAGGGTTTCATGTGGTGTCTCTGACGTGCCATCTTCGAATCTAATAAGATATTTTGAAAATACAAAAGAAGAGAAAATTCCAAAAGAAAAATGATAAAAGAAGAAAAATAAGAAATTAAAAAAAGGATAACTTATAATTTAGTAAATGATAAAAAGTACAACACCATTAATTCAACAAAAGAAAAGAAAAAATTTACTTCCTAATTTTAAAACAATGAATATAAAATGTAAAGATATATGTGAACATTGGGGAATTATTTGGTTAAATTTTGAAAAATTAATAAGAAGTCATAATGAGAATTTATTAAAAAAAGTTCCATGGCATTATAACAATTTACAATTTAAAATGAAACACCAATCTATACATATATCTTCAATTAATATAAAATTATTTCCTGATTATTTAGATAAACAATTATATATAAGATACGATAATCCTAGTTTACTTAAATTACATCCACAACAATTAATTGAAAAATATTGTATGAATCAATATTTAAAATCAATTCCAATGAAAAGTTGTTTAAAAAATGAATTTGAAAGAAAAACAAAAGTACCAGGATATTATATTTATAATTATGGAATTGTTGGTATTAATGATTCAAAATTTGAAGATATTGTTTATACAGCTCATATTCCTTGTATGATTTCTTTAATAGATCAACAATTTCCTATTATTTCAGTTACATTTACTATGTTAATTCCTTCTAATATTCATATATCAAACAATACATTTTTATGGGACATTTTTCTTGATAATTTAAATCTCCTTTTTTTTGAATTCCAATTAAAACATTTAGAAGAACATGGCAAAAATATTGAAAGTTATAAATTATTAAATGACTCATTAACTTCATTAATTAATCATTTTGATGAATATCTTCTAAGTGTTACTTCTAAACAAATTAAAAAGAAATTAATACTTCCTAATAATTTTCCATCAGAAGAATTTATACAAAAAATAATAACAAGTCATTTAACTTCATATTATACATTAATTGTTTCTGATAATTATCCTGAATCACAATTTGTTTATGATTTATGTTATCCATTAGATATACCTGATATATACAATCAACCATTATCTTCTCCTATTAATCCTAGAATATTATTTCAACCAAATCCTTTCTTTAGAACTATGTGTTTAACTAACTTCTCAGAAAATTTATATTTCTCTTTACCATTTCCTTTTTGCGTAATTGATCCATTAAAACAAACAATTGCTAGAAGTTCTACTCAATGTATTATTAAATATTTTATTCAACGTTTAAATTATTTCTTATTTAAAGCTTCTCAACGTCTTGGAATTACAAAATTTATTGCAACTATTCCAATTACTGAAATTCTTGTTTCAGTACCTTCAACTCCATTAATTGTTCCATTATCAAAAATTATATTATCAATTAGAACTGATAAAGAAGCTGATTATCTTCATACTTTAATGTTTAAAATGTGTGATATTCTTGCAATGAAAGCACATATTATATTTACAATGCTAAAATCAAAAGATATATATAATGATGGTCAACTTACTCTTCAAACTATTAATGAAATAAAAAAACAAACAGGATGTGATACTGAAGCATTAAAAATAATAGTAGGAATTTTAAAATTTTCAGAGCCTTATGTTATTGGAGTAGTAATGGAATTAGTAGAAAAATTAATTTAAAATCAATGTATTTTTTTTTATTTTAAATAATAAATTTATTTGATATATTCTTGTGTTTTTTTTATTCTTTTTAATTTGTATTTATGACGTTTAGATATTAAATGAATATTCCATTCTTTTTCTCCATTTAATATAATACCACATATCTCACAATAATATTTCTTCCATTGAATTAATTTTGTTTTTTCTTCTTCTTTAATTTCTTTTTCTTTAGTCATTGTATTAAATGAATTACAATTAGAGTTTAATTGTTCATTAATTTTTTGAAAAATTAAGTCTAATTGAAGAATATCATTTTCATGATGAATAAAATGAATAATAGAAGACTTTTTTGTTTTTATTATTTTATTATTTATCCATCTTATTTGTTTCTTAATATATTGTTTTGTATGAATTTTAACATTCTCAATTGCAATTTCTATTGGTGTTCCTTTTAATTTACATTCAATAAATTCTTGAAATCCAATTGCCATACAAATTCCCCATTTCCATTCTAATTGTTTTAATTCCTCTTCATGTTCTTCAATAAATTTCATATTTTGTTCTACCATTCCTTGTTGGACCATTATATTTACTCTTTTATCTGCTCTTTGGTAAAGTAATTTAATATCAGCATCAACCCAAATAATTATTGGATTATATTTCATTTCAATATGTTCTTTAAGAAAAGTACTACTAATTGGTTGGTTATATTGAATATAATATATTAAAGCATTTTTAATTCTAGTAATATCATTCGGGTGTAATCTTTCTGCCATTATTGGATCAATTTCTTTTAATTTATTATACCATTCATCTTCTTTCCATGGAAGTATTTTTGATTCATTAACTTTAATTAAATCTTTAGGTTGATGTCTAAAAAGTAACGCATCAATATAATATGAAGTTCCTCCACAAATTATTGGTATTTTATTCTCTAAACAAATCGTTTCAATTGCTTTATCTGCATCATTTACCCATTGTTGTACAGTATAATTCACTTCAGAAGAAACAAAATCAACAAGATGATAATGAAATTCTTGTTTTTCTTCTTCACTTGGTTTATTAGTTGCAATAGGAATTCCTTTATAACATTGCATTACATCTGCATTAATTATTTCTCCATTTAACTTTTTACAAATTTGATGAGCAACAGTTGATTTTCCACTTGCTGTAGCACCAATAACAACAATGATTTGTTTTTTATCATTTTTGATAATAGGTTCATTCATTTAAACCAATAAGACTAAATCATTTTTTCTTTTTTCGTTTTTTTTTTTTATTTGTTATTAAAATCATTAATTATTAAATTATTTTTTATTTGATTGTTTTTCCATAATAATTATATAAATTATTTTTATTTGTTTTTATAGTAATAGTTTATTATTTTATTGGAAGTTACAAGGTTTGGAGTAGGAGTTTGATAGTCTCATTTCAACTATTAAAAATTCCTGGGAAATTCCTCGAACCATTAGATAGAAAGTATCAATCCTAAGTGGATGAGGAATATGTTTGATTGTCCGGACGTTGATCTGTTTGGAGAGTCCTATGTTCAATTAAACTATTCCTTCGTTGTAGGTACAGTAATCCAAACAAGAATAACTTAATGAGGGTCACTCTGTGACTTCCATTTTTTTTAAATTTCTAAAATAATATTTTATTATAAACCTCTAATATAGCAAAATTTTGTTTTTTTTTTAACAATTTTTACCATTTCAGGGTTTTAGTGTGTCGAATATGGGGCGAGTTTGGGTCTGTTTATATTATGAGTCAAAAATGTCAGTATTAAAACTACAAAACAAAATTTCCACATTAATTTAATTATACGAAATAGTCAAAAGTGTCAATTTTTTTTCAAAGATTAATTAAAAAATAGATTAAAAAACATAAAATAAGGTTCTATCTTTATTCACTTGAAAATCACTTGAAAATTAGCGAATCAAATTCAATAACAAGACTTAAAAATAGAAATAGTAACTCTTTTGAATCAGAAATAAATTTTTAATAATGAATTTTTTCATCCATTGATGTCCCAGATTAAAATCTCCGTTTTGTGTTACTTCAATGATGAGTTATGATGAAAAGTTAGAGGTTAATGGTGTTTGGCCATCAAAATCAGCCTTAAAGGCAGCAGTAATTGCTAATGGAGTAGCTAATCCTAATGATAGACGATATTGGAAAGTCATAAGAAGTTCTAAAGAATATCTTTCATTAACTTGTTGTTTTGCTGTTCAATGTAATTGTCCTGCTATTTTACGTGCTTCAAGAAGTTCAAAATTACCTGGTAGACCTTGGGTTGTTAGAGAAGTTTGTTTAAAACATGGAAATGGTTGTAAAGGAAAAACTCCAAAAAAGTTTTTTGGAACAGACTTTATTAAATCAGTATTACCACCAGAATTACTTTTAGGAACATCAACTGAAGTTGCTAAATATTTAGAAGAAAAGAGTGGACTTTCTGTTGCTCGAAGAACTATTTCAAGACTTCAAAAAGGAAGTAAACCAAAAATAGAAAGGATAAGTCAAGTTGTAATGGAATTTCTAAGAAAAAATCCAGGATCTAGTGCTTCTATTCAAGGTCAAATGGTTAGAATTGTTTTTGGAGTAATTAAAAACGTGTTACCATATCTTCAACATTCATTAATATCGTCTGATATTTGTTTAAATAATGGATATCATATGGTCATTATTAGTGGTATGGATGGAGAAAGACAACCATTACCCTTATGTTTTGCTCTTGCTTTACAAAATATTGATGTATGGGAATTTGTTTATGAAGGATTACAAGACATTCTTGGAGATGGACAAGATTCAATAACAAAAACTATTTCTAATATTCATTTATCTAATGAATCTATTTATAAATTTGAGTTAAATGATTCTGACACAACTATGACAAAAACACTTTGTAATATTATTAATACAATTAGTTCTTTATTTGAATCAAGAAGACGTCAAATACAATTTACAAATAGTAAATTGGTGAATTGGTTAAATAAAGATATTGAATGGAAAATAGAAGGTGCTTCTCAAATAGAATGTTATGGTGAATTTCCTCTTTATTATACTAAAACTTCTGTTCCACTTTGTATTGATTTAAAAAAGAAAACATGTAGTTGTGGGGAATTTCAAAGAACAGGAACTCCATGCATTCATGCTGTATCTGTTATCCATCATTTACTTCATGAAGACTATGAACAATATGTTGATCCTTGTTATTTTGCATCTTCTTTAAAAAAAACTTATTTATTACCTGTTGTTCCAATTTCTTTCTCTGCTATAAAACAAAATGAAGAAAGAAAAAGAGTTTGTGAAGAAAGTTCTGAAGATTTATTAACTAAAAGAAAAATACAATCACCAATTACTTTTTCAAATGAAGTAAATTTTAACTAAATCCCTCTTATAAATATAAAATATTAATACTGTATATTCTCATCCATTTATTAGAAATAAAAAAACTAATAATAAATTAAAGAAAGAGAAAAATTAATATTCATTTAAAATGACATGGAGAAATGTTGAATCATATTTGCATATTTCATTATTGTTGTAGTTCCTTTTCTTAAATTGGTTGCTAATGAAGAAAGTTTTTGAAGAATACAATTGAGACTAACTTCAATAATATCTAACTTGTTTAAATTGTTTATCAAATTATCTTTTAATGTTAGGTCATTAGTTTTAACAATAAATGTTTTAGGTTTTTGAGGATAAATAATTTCATCTCCAATAAAGGATATGTAATTATCCAACATTTCAATAGTTGGTTTATATTTGTCATATTCTTCATTTGATTTAATTGAACAAAGATTTTCCTTCATTAATGTTAATTTAGGTTGAATATTATTTTTAATAAATTCACTAATTTCTTCAATTTTATTTTCTTGTTTTTCTGGTTGATTAAATGTTCTGGAATAGTATTCAAGTGTTAGTCTAAGATCATTTTCACTTTGAGATATACATGCTAATAATTTACCTCTCTTACTTCCTTCTTCTAAATTTCTTGGAGATGGAAGTACTTCCATTCCATCAACTCTTGGAGTAAATGCTCTTCTTGAAGGAGAGAACGAAGTATTTAATTGAACCAAATCCGGTGTTTTAGACATTTTACTTCTTGAAGAACGTTCAGAACGTTTAGATGTTTTCTTAAATTGAGGTTTCCAAAATAAAGATTTATTATATTCCTCTAAATGTTCATCTACAAGAATACTAATTAATGCATTTTGACATTGAATAAGAATTGGTTGCATTTCTTGAACGGAATCACATTTCTTTAACAATCTATATGCAACATGATGTTTTGCTTTTAACTCAATAAAAGCCATTTCAGAACGAGAAAGGATTTGTGAAATTGTCATTTTATCTTCAGGTGTAGTTTGAATATACTCAATGAATGATAATGTATTTTTAACATTTTCATTATTACTTTCCACATATTTAATAAAATTATTTTGAATTGACCTTACTTTTGTAATTGCTTCTTTTGTTAATGTTTTTGATTTTTCAATCATACTTTTTTGAGCCAATTGACAAAATTCTTGTAACCTTTTAACATCAGCTGAATTTGTTGCAAATCGTTGAATCTCTTTATCACTAATAATTCCCATTAATGTTGGTGCAGTATATCCACATGTTACAAATTCATCAGTAAACCCAACTAAGTTATAAGGAATAAGGTATTTTGCTACATCAACATATATTTCATCATTCATTGAAATTTTTAGTGCCATTTCTATATCTTTAGAAAGTAATTGTTTATCATCAAGAGCTGTAAGACGATGAGTTAAGTCTTTAAAATATGATGATTGTTTAAATAAGTCAAAGAATTCTTTACGTTCCATTAATTCAAAAATATCATTTTTTGCTTCATTAAACAAATTTTCATATTTTGCTTCTGCATAATTATTTGTTATATCTTTTTTTATTGATTGACTTAATTGTAATTCTTTACTACTTCCTGTACAAATAAATGTTTCATATACGTCTTTTGCAACCCATTCTTTTACATCTGGTGATGTAATATTATT